GAGTATGAGTTCTACAACAGAGTGAGGATCACATTTGATTTCATGGATGAAAATTTCGTTCATGGAATTAAGTTCAAATAAATAGGGAAATATTCTTTGTTTGGTGTAGAATTGGAGAATCTTTAGGGTGATAGACTAAAATCCCCAATTCGTTCTTAGTGTTTAAAAACTAAAGCTAGAGTTTGGCTTCAGGTGAAGGGAAGTGAGAGCTCTGGAGTGGGAGCCGGTATCCTCCTAGCCTAGCCACGAATTTAGGGACTAAACCTATGATTAGCCAATGATTTTCTATGCACTGTATAAGGGTAGAGAATTATAATTGCTCTTATTTGGCACAATACATATTATAAACATTTATGTCATCTCATTTCACCAGAACCTCATTCTAGTGGGAAGGATGCTTTTTCACATAAGAAATCTTCATTACTTAAACATAGTTAATAGATTAGTACTTACCTTTTAAACTTTGCATTTCTATTTGGCTGATAGTTAAGTACTTTATTTTTGATAGCATCTCAACATTCAAAATTAGTGACAGTGATTTCGTTTGATTTTCTATAAATTTCCTTATAAAACTTATCATTGCCAATTTACACCTTCCCTGTGGAATCAATATTTAGGGCTTAAATAGGAAGTCTTATATTACTTGATAACAATACATATACTTGCGTAGAATCCCATTATTAATTGTCTATAATTATATATATTTTACACAACTTGCTTTTCATACAAGGATCAAGTTTTTGGCCAAGGATCAAGTTTTTGGGCGATATAGTGGTGTCAACTTCATAAATCCTTACATATAAAAAATCGGGAGCAGTGATATGTATACTTGCATTTGCAACCTAATGACAAATTAAAATTGAAAGTACATCTTAATTCACTAAGAGTGGCAGCTATTTTAAAAGAGAAAACCTATTATACTGAAGAAAATTTAATTGTGGTTAATCTACATAATTTTGAGTATAATTGTCTCGTATGTTGTGGTGTTGAAAAAAATTTATAATCCATAAATAAAGCCTAAGTCATATTTCCTATAGAGAGGGCACAAAAGGTAATCTGGAAGCGAGAGGCTAGAATCTAATCAACACTACAACACTAGCTGGAACAAACTTTAGGCAAACCTACGTTCTTTATAAGTCCCGGGAGGGGTAAAGAAAATAAATACTCCTATTTGTCACAATATAACATTTTAATTTTTAAACATTCAAATTTTACACTTATTATCATCTCTATGTAAGGAGAAAATCTTCTTATAACATTTGAAACTTTCTTTTATATAATATTAGTTTTCATTTACTTTTGTTTAGAATCAAATCCTGCATAAATTTAGTCTTTGTCTTTTTATAAATTTTATCATTCATCTCCCTTAAGTGTTGTTTTCAGTTCATAATAGAAACTATTCTAAGTCATTATAAAAGATACGACTTCCCTGTGGGATTGATATTGGGGTTTTTTATAAAAAAATTATATTACTTGAAATTATACACATACTTGTGTAGCACCCATAGTGTTAAAGAGCATCTTTTAGTTTTGAAATCATTTTTCTTATTCACACTAGCTCCTCAATATAATTCATGCCAAGTTTTTGGCAATCTTTTGGAATTTAGAAATCTACGCAATTGCGGGTCAGATCACCCTCTCTTAAGTGCATAAAGAACATTGACCAATCTAAAGTTAAGTTCTTGATTTTATGGTTGTGTTGAGTAAATTCTAGCCTCTCACTTCTAAATTACCAACTGTGTCCTCTTTATAAGACCAACCAGGGACTCAGGTTCTGAACTAAGGCCAAATTGATAAAGGTTCTAGCCTGTCCCTCTTGAATCGTCAGATTTACGCCCGTGACAACTTATCTCTCTAACAATTTGCACTCCCTTATGGACGTGGCATCCCCTCCATCTAAGGTTTGGTGTAGTACTTACTAATTGCTGAAATCATAGCCCTCCTCGATCATTATGTTTTTCAACGGATTTTAAACTTACAAATAATCGGTTTGCAAAGTAAATTAAGAACTAGTAAAATTATTATCAAAATTTTGGAATAAAAGAAATCTTCAAACCCTTCTAATCCCTCAAATGACTAAATCTCATCGTAAGGAGAAAGAGTAAAAAAAAACAACTCACTAAGCATGGAGAAAATACAACACAAACTTTGTTTAAAACAAAGAAAATTCACTACAAATGTACTTACAACAATTACACGATAATGAAGAAAAAAAATACTTAGGTTTTCCCTCTGAAACAAAGATGAAAATCCCTCTAACAAAGTCTCCTACTGATCCACACAAAGTTCCTACAATTCCTTTAAAATATCTCTCAAAATCCCTAACCAATCTCAATCTACATCTCAAATCTTATCTATGCCCTGTAGACGTTCTTGGAAGTTCCAAGAGTTTGAAATGCCAAAAGGTGTCTTTCCAAGTGTCAAAAGGTGCTTAAAAACTTATTGGGGTGTCTAGAACCTGTCCATGACTGTTTTTGATGCCTAGTCCTAGAAAAATTGATCAATTACTCGAGACATGGCAGTCCAAATTCTCTGTTAAATATATTCTGTGTCATGTGCCTTGTCTCCGCTACGGGTTTATTTTAAAGGAAAGAAACAACATAAAGCATCAGAAAACCACAGATAGTTGGAAAAAGGTGCTTAACAATGTTAAAGCTTATATGTTAAAGGCTTCTAAATACACTAAATCACAAAAACCATTACAAGGACTAGGGGAGATGTCACAGACTTCTAACACATGGTGAATAACTTTGAATTAATTTGTTAGTGTAAGCCATCCAACAATTACCTAAAACCGAACACAGACGCTAGCTATTTGGCGTATGCTGCAGGGACTGGTGGTGTCTTCGAGAAATGTTTAGGTAAGTGCATTTTGCAGTTTGCTCTTTTTTGTTGTTCTAACACAATTGATTACTCAGAGATGAGTGCTGTCCAAAATGAACTTCTGATTGCAAAAGCAATGAAATTCATAAATGTGAATGTGGAGATGGACTCAGAAAGCACCTATAACTAGTGTAGAATGGATACGGTTTGTAACTAACAAAATATTATGATATGGAAGAAGATCCTTGGCATCGCGCTAGTATTTAATATCAAATGGAGTAATTTTTACAGAGAAACCAAAAGATTTGCTAACCTACTAGCTAGGAGAGCTGTTGTATCTTCTATATGTTGGGTTAGTTATTCTTCGGACGATGAGCATGAGATCTTGTGGAATGGTGACCTTCTTCCTTTTCTTGCTATTATAACTGTTCTATAAGTTGTAACCTTTTTTTTTTTTTGGCATATGAGCGAAGGTCATTTACCATTATTTTTTATAAATAACATCTTAGACAACAATATTGTTGCAAACATGAAATAAGCTTAAATATCAAAATGAAACTTACAATTATTTTGTATTAAGTTTTTTATTATTCAGTTTTCATTTATTTATATAAATGGTTTTAACAAATACCCTGAAATTGCAAGGTGAGTACCAACGCAAGAAAATTCGATGATTTTCTGTAGAGTCATCTCTTTGTGAGTCTATTCGACTGACTAGCAAATATCCAAAGGGGTTTACCTACATAAAATTATACACAAGCTCGCAAGTCTTTTCACATGCAATTATATAAAAAATGTGCAATTTCACACCAACTTGTGATATAACAGTAGCCCAAATGTAGTTCGTAACAGTTAAGCAAAAGAGGAGAAAATGTTATATATTTTGAATTTATTCGCTTATGCAGGAGTGTGCAACAATAGGTAAGACAATCAATAACATCATCATGAGAATAAAATGAAGCTTATAACCATTGCAAAATAATAATTATAAATAAAGTAGCACGTGAAGGAGTGACAAAAGTAACTAGAGAGCTAATACAATTAACAAACATTAAATCCTTTAACTTGAAGGGTAATTGATCCCCTAATATAAAGCAATTACTAAATTTACGGTGGGCAAAAAGAGACTTCTGAATATTGAATGGTTCAACTAGTGATCTTGCACAATTAGAATTAAAAATATAAACAATTTTACAATTTAAACCTAATTACTTATTGAAATAGCTATAATGAAAGCAACATTTATTATTATTTTAAAAGAAAATAATTTAACAATAATATTATATAATCTAAATTATCTTCATCATAAAATAATTAAAAATGTGTGCTTGTATATAATAGAGAAGAAACTAGGCGAAAAAGATGAGCATCACCTCCCTCAAATATTTCAGTTCTGAGCTGAGCTGAAGGAGGGGGAAGGTAGAGTTCGGTAGTCTCTGTCCATCACGATCCCCATGTTGCGTTCCCAGTTAGCATTAATCGCGATGATTCCGCAAGGGTTGAGTGACTAAGGCCATGGTTCGGGGCGAATGCGTGAGAGAGGGAGGAGGGATATCGGAGATGCTTCGGTGAATACAGGACGAAACAAGGGAGGGCGAGTTTGTTGACATTGTTCGGAAGCACACGCACAGAAAGCAAAAGAATTGGTTCTTTCCTTGGCATTGCTCGTATCTAATATTCCAAGTAGAGGATAAACAATAGTCGGATCACTGGTAATTTGCTGTTACTAAAGTGGAGAAAAATGATTCCAAACGCATATTTCCAATATGTACAAAAAGCCTTTTAAAATAACAACTCCTCAAGGTAATTCTGATTACAAAATTCTAGACGGCACTCGTATTGACCTGTTTTTTGCGACGGAGAAATTAAGCAGTTCTTGCTTACGTATGCTGCAAAAATCAAACAAAAGAATTGCTGAAATCTGAAATAATGAAAACGTGCAGGGCAACACCAACAAAGAAAAAAGAAAACGAAATGAAGAATATCGGGATTAGTTCATTCAGCATACAAAATATTGATATATAAGAAGCATGCGTTTTAATCATATACAGCAAAAAAAGCAGAAGAGAGAAGACGATACGAAAGAAAGAATTCAATCATGCTGGCTGCAGTTAAACTGCAGAAAAAATAAATAATGGACTAGTTCCAGCAGTAATTCTTCTACTATGATTTTAGATAGGACGCTTTCTGTAATCATTAGAGCAAACAAAATCAAGCAAGAAAGTTGAATCATTGGTGACACAGAAAGCAGAAAAGCTCACAAGTTTTTATTTGCAGCAAAACGAAAAGTTGAATTAATGAAATAGAAACTCTAGAAACAGAAATGCAGAATCTGTACACAATTGCATCTTCAGTTTTTCTTCATTGTTTTGAGATTTAGATCGTCAGATGCTGCTAATGCTTAGTACTCGCCTCGGCCCAAAAGCCTTCAAATTGCTCGATCTTTTGAAGATTGAGACCAAGCGTCTCAGAAAACTGCTGGACCACGAATTTCTTAGTACCAACTCCGCCTACTTCGCTTCCAATATTCGAGACTAAATGAGACCTCTTGTGCCCACCCAACGCCTGGCCCGATAAGAAAGTCTTACCACAAAAGTCACATTCATGGATTCTGCTCTTCTGATATGCCAGCCCAAGGTTTTTGATCGAGGCTTCAGTGTCAAAGCTGGGGCTTTCCCTGCAGCAGATTCTAATCCTCTTATGGCTGGCACGGTGGCCTCCGAGAGCCTGGTAGGAATGGAATGTTTTTCTGCATGTTAAGCATTTGTATCTACTGCTCAAAAAAGTGAATTCAGAAAAGGAGAAACCATTGTCACCAACCATTGCTCCCTTCTTCTCCAGTACAAGAGAATTCAGAATCAGCCTCCGCTTTAAATCGTCACCGGAGTCTTCCTCCGATATCTTATCGGAGCAACTGCCGATGTCTCGGGAAAGCATCATGAGAATGATGGCACCAGCCTGTTCCTCGGGCTCGCAACCGGCCATCGAAGCCGGAGAAGCCTGCTTCGACCCGCACTTCCTCCTCGGCACCGACTCATTTTCCTTGGAGAAACTCTCATGAGAATTCTTCTCCTGGACCCAAGAACCTTCTTCCTCAAAGCTTCGAGAATTGCTAGTCTTTTCAGAGTGGCATCGCATATGACCAAAAAGAGATTTCCAAGAAGGGAATTCTTTGCCGCATTCCCTGCACCGCTTCGAAGAGCGTGCAAGATCTTCGCCAACAAAATCAGAGAGCCTAAACGTCTGCTTTAGATTCTTCCTAAAAGCATACCCAAATCCCAAACCCTCTTGATCTCTGCTTTCCTCGAGCTTCTCCTTCTCCTGCGCACCGGAGGACAAGGAATGGATATGGAACCTCATGTGGCCACCAAGTGATCTGCCACTAGAAAAGATCTTTCTGCAAATCTTGCATCGATGTTTCGTCTGCTTCTGATATGATTCCATATGAAGCTAAAGAAAGAAGGGCCGGCTGGTCAAAACGAAAACTAACTGCGAAAGAACTCAGAAGGATTATCGGGATTCGAAGAGAGCTTCAAAGTTTTTGAATTTTAGATACATCTGCGAATGACAAGGATCTTAAGCTCTGCCTCCGTTTGCTCTGCACTTCTCTGCTCGCTTTCAGCTACTCTGTTTTGAGCTTGGAATGGGAGGGGTGTGAAGTGAAGGAGAGAGAGAGTTTTTGGTTTGTTAATCTCAGCTTGGCTGTTTGGCAATATCATGAAAGGAAAATATTAAACAAACCTAGTCGGCAGTTGTGTGCCTATTTCAATAACACGTGGACAAGCGTCATTCGGGTGGTGACAAGGTTTCGTGTGAATAACTTTTTTTTTTTAGCCTAGTTGTTTGGTGGATTATTTCGCACGAAAATAAGCCCCCTAATAACCCAAATAAGCCCCCAACAATACCCCAAATAAGCTCTTAATTGCCTTTTTTTCTTTTTAATATTTCCACCACTTTTCGAGATATCGTGAACTTATGTAATAGAATTAGATGCTTTAACGAAGGAATTTTAATTCAATCGTTAAAAGTTTCAGTCAATCAGATTGTTAAATTCTTGGAGCGCATAATTATGATCAAAAGCGTTTTGAACTTTCCAAAAACATGGAGTCAGCAACTTTGTCGAGTTAATATAACAAATCAATAAGATTGGCTCAACCAAATTACCCAACAAAAGAATCAGGTAGAGTTAGTAAGCTCTCAAAGTTGAACGTTAGAAAATAGTTTAGCTGATTGTGCATCAGAAATGTGGTTAGTTGAGAGATCCAATGGATTACACGAAGAGTAGCAAAAAACCGATAAATCCTATATCACTTCAGTCGGTCGAACTATGATCCGACTGAACCAAGCAGCACTACACACTTATACTAGTAATGAATTAAACAACACAAAGTATTCACAAGGACAACAGTTGTCTAATGGGGACTCCTGTACAGATTTGTCGACCGAAGGTAGGCTATCAGTCAGACTACGGTAATATGCTCTCTTCCTGATGGACTAATACTCGCAAATGACAATGATTCTTCATAATGGATCCTCTCAATAAAAGGAAACAGAAAATTATTCAGTAGGCCGAATGACTTTTGGCTGACTGTACGAATACCACATGATCAAGTCAAACGGTTACAAATGCAAAACAGTGCTTAGGACAATTATGGGCATGGAACGACGCCACCAACGATTGCAATTTCAAAATATGCTCAATTTGATTACTAAAATGTAAAGATAATGGGTCAAAAATCATTATAACGTTCTCATTAAATGACAATCATGTAATTTACTAGACATCTTCTATGACTTATAAATGGGAGGATCATTTTCTACAGACGAGACTACTGGATTTGTTTCAAGAGAATTAGTGTTATTTGTAATTTATTATTTCTTTCTCCTCTTTCCACTTGTTCCTCTCATCTAACTAAAGCTATTTTTCTTGGGTGTGGCTCTAAAGACATTTTAGTTTTCAATAAGTTCGTTATCTGAAAGCACACCTGACTGCATATTTTGTGTGAATTTGTTACCATGCTCTACTTGCCTCATTAAGCTAATTAACCAGCTGTCCACAATGCTAATCATGCCGACTAAGGCATTACCAAGGACGATTTGCCATAAATGTTGCGAGAGAATCATTTTTGAGAGAATCAATTCCCAAGAAGAGATGTTATAATATGAGTATTATGATGTCTATGTAAATAGAAGACAATAAATATGGAAATAATATCTCTTGGGCTCCGAATATAGTGATGAAAGTATTTATAACATTGTAGCATATGAACCTACCCACTGAATCAATGAAGGTGTTCTTTACAGAAAGAGGGACAAATTACCATATATTTGAGAATACATATTTCATAAAGCATTCATTCTTTGTTCCTTTGATATAATTATTCAATTCTAACTCTTCCATTCATTGTATTGGTCCACAAACAAATAAAGTTCTAAGATATGTTGTTAGTGTGGATTGAATGAAATAAGAAATTCTCCAATGTCATTGATTTCATAATAATCAACTCACTAACAACTAATAATGTCATTCTTGGTCTTCCTCTCTATGGTAGAGATGTATGACAAAATAAATGTCTGGGGTCAATATCAAAGATGGTCATCAATGGTTCAATATCAACTCAAGTGCTCGACCCTTAAAATAGAAGTATGGAGTAGTCACCTTAACTTTTGTAGAGACAATTCAATAAAAGGTACAAAAGCTGTTAAGCATCAATTATATCAGGGAATTCTAATATCTTGATTAGCACATGCATGTGACAATGATGTCAAATTCTAATAAAAGTGATAGATTTGAGTATGCAAGAAATTGACCTCGGCCTGCCCACAAGGTACTTACCTGTTATGACAATAAATTCACCAGTCAACTCCGTGATCGCTTACCAAATCATGAGTTTTTTTTATGCATTCTCATGATAACACTGCATCATGCACTTTGTTTTAGTCAAGAAAAAGAATATTTATTATTAAGGATGGTGTTTTACAATGTATGTCCTTTGAGCATAAAAATATATGTAATCATTAATAATTAGAAATAAAAAAATTAGGTGTATCTCAATGTTGTTTTACTTAAAAGTAGGTAATCTAAACATCATATGAACACATCAAAGAATTCATTAAATACTAAGAAAGGCAGGCAATGAAGTTGAACCTAGTAAAGTGTAGATTCAAAGTTGGGTAAATAAAATTCTCGGGTTATCTTCTTAGTCAAAAATACTTTGAGATGAACGTAGAGAAGGTCAATGTAATCCTAGGCATATTATTTGTAAAAATACTCAACAATTGAAAAACTAAACTAGATGAATTATTAGATTAAGCCTTTTCATTTCTGTCTTGTGACAAATGCTCAATTTTCCTTATGGTTAGATAAACAAATTATTATTCACTTAGTTAAAGAGTGTGAACAAACTATTAAACAAATATATTTTTCATTCATCTTCACTGTTATTCCAAATTCCAAGGTAAAATGATCACTTTTTAATATTTCTTGGAGTTACCCAAGAGCTGATGATTTCTTTCCATTTCCATAAAGAGGGTATGAAGTAGTTCTCAGTTTATTATTTTAAATAATTCTAAGGCAAGTCGAACTTAGCTTTCCTTTTGTTGAGAAAACTACCCTTGCTTTAATTATAGCTACAAGAAAGCCTTGCCCAAATTCTCAGGCTCACGTAATAAAATTTTTAACTTACCATTCACTAAAATTAATACTCACTGAAACCAAAACATTCAGACTAACTGCTAAAATGGATGATTAAATCAAATGAGTTCTATATCTCCTCCACAATCTTTTGGATGATTAAATTGTGTGAGTTTTTTATCTCTTTCCCATTCCAAAAGAAATATTGAAGCACAATAAACAATTAATTTCCTAGTGGGTTTTACCAAGACACATAAAAGTAATGTTGGGAACCCTCATGCAAAGATGCTTGGAATATAATATATAGATGGATTGTATAGTTTTTTAGGAAAAGGATTAGGTTTAGTGTTGATATAAAGTGATTGTGTGATATTGTTATGTCATATTTTTCCATGTTTTACATCTCTTTCTACTAATATTAAGCTTGGTAAGGGTATTTTTATTTTAATTGTGAAGGAGATAGGATGGACATGAAATTTCAGCAAGAAAAGTAGAAATCAACACAATAAAGGAGATATTGAACGAACACACTCATGCCATAATCCAGTGCACTAATTTCATGCTAACTTTAACTCCGACACACTTGCATCAAGTTTAATGTACTCACATCCACCATAAGCAATCGTGCTCCTAGCAGCGCACCCGCACAATTATGTCTACCCAGCACGTAGCACGTCTCCATCATAGATATGGCATACCTGTGTCGTACCTAGCGCACTTGTGACAATTTAGTGGTGCACCCAAGCCCAATCTGTTGAACTTACTTTGGCAAGAATTTCCTTGTGTTTGCGAAGCCCTATCGGTATATCTACTCACGAGGTCTATTTTAGAGGATCTTATGTCGCTTAAGGTTGGAAGAAAGTGGATAATTTGATTAGAGAGAGCTCTCCCTTAAGGTTTTTTTGGTTTCTTTGAATTGTAACCTAAAGATGTGTTTTCTCACTTTGAGTTCTTGAGAGTTCTTGAGAGATTTTTTGCATGAGAGGGAGAGGCTCCGCTCTCGTGGATAGGACAAGCCTTTATAGTATCTTTTACTTTCATTTATATTTTGGAGTAAAGATCTACATGAATTTTGTTTCTGTCATTTTCTCAACAATGCATGAATAAACCTTTTGCCACGTCTTTGTGATATATCGGTAGTGGTTTTAATTATACTTCCTATAAGGGCAAGCCCCTATAGTTAATTACAAAAAAACTTCCTATAAGGGCAAGCCCCTATAGCTAATTACATCTTAGATAACCGAAGTCACCTAAGAAAACTCTCGATAAAAATCAAGAAATCTTATCTTCAAAGAGTTCAAAAGGATAAGACTTTTCAACGAGATCGAATAAAGAGGTGTGAAAAGGGAATGACTCAATTTAGAACATTTATTGTGGAATCCAAAGGAGGAAGAACTTAAGGATGTCATGGATCTAGAGGAGAACCTCGGTGACTTCCCAATCTATCATATTATTTTGTTTTAATTTTAAGGAGGAAGCTATTTAAAAGTTTCATCCTTTCAATTTTATTAATTTAAATTAATCACACAAATAGCCTAGAAGATGTGAGGATTTAGGTCGTGACGAACGATAACCTCAGAATCCTAAGGCGAGTTAGGGCTTATATTGTATAGCAGAGATACAAAAAGGCCTAAAGATACAGTGAGGATTTATGTTGCATAAGCAAACAACCTCAAAATCCTATGGCTTGTTGTTTAGTTCTAAGGAAGGATATACTGTTGTAGATCATACTGTTGTAGATCCTCTTGGTTGTAGATCCTCTTGCTGCTGGAGATGGCTATGCTGCCCACAAAGCTAGCTCCAAGCTCCTCACCATAACGAGTTTAAGTTTTCTAGCGTGTCAGGTCATGATGTCAAATCAAATGTCCCTATTGTTATGGTTCTTTAAATGTTATGGGGCATGTTAAAGTTGATTAGAACAAATCCAGTTAGGATCATACGGTTCCCTCGTTCCGGTACCACAAATCCAGTTAGGATCGTACGGTTCCCTCGTTCCGGTACCACTATTTTCTATTAGATTCAATTAGTCCAAATGAATTTACTAAACTCAACTTAATTAATTGCGTACTTTC